TGGGGGCTTTGGGGGCCTGCCTGGGTTTTGGGGTCCCTCTGGGGTTAGGGTACCTCCTTGGTGTTTGAGGTCTCTCTCTATGTCTGGATTTTCCTGTGAGTCTGTGGGATTTTTGGTCCCTCCTGGGATTTGGGGTCCCTCTAGGGAGTTTGGGTCCCTCCTGGAGGTTGGGGTCTGCAGGAGTCGGGGTCCCTCCTAAGGTCTGAGCTCCCCTGGGAGTCTGGAGTCCCCCACCCCCTGTGTCCCCATTCCTGCAGGAGGATTCCTCGGGGACGTTCGTGCAACTCCGGCTGGGCCTGGCACAGACAGCCTGCAGGAAACGAGCGCCGCAGCGGCACTGCCGCATGCTGGACAGCAGGGTGAGGGGACATGGGGGTGTCCCCTGCCCTGGGACACATCCTGGGGAGTCCTCCCTACCCTAGGGCATATCCTGGAGTGTCCCCCTCTCCTGGATCACATCCTGGGGTGTGTGTCCCCTGCCCTGGGTCACATCCTGAGGGGTCTCCCGTACCTTAGGATGTGTCCTGAGGTGTCCCCCCTCCCTTGGGCACATCCCAGGGTGTCCCCTCTACATTAGGGCATGTCCCAGGGTGTCCTCCCTCCCCTGTGCCACATTCTGGGGTACCCCTCCCTCCCTTGGGGCAAACCCCCTCCCCTGACTCCCATCCCTGGGAGTCCCCCTCTCCCTTATGGCATGTCCTGGGGTGTCCCCCCATCCCCTGCTTAACATCCCCCCTCCCTTGGGCACATCCCAGGGTGTCCTTATCCATTGGGTCATGTCCTGGTGTGTTCCCCCCCCTTCAACACATGCCAGGGTGTCCCTTCTCCCTTATTGCAAATCCCTGGATCACATCTCCCCTCTCTTGGGTCCTGTCCTGGGGTGTTCCCTCCTCCCTTGGGTCACATCCCAGGGGTGACATGGCCCATCGACCTCCCCCAGGCACCCCATCCCTCTGCCACAGGTGCCAAGGTGGGACAGAGGGGACAATGGTGGGTGACAGGGGCCAGGACCCCCCCAGGGGGTCCCCGGGGGTCTCAGAGGGGTGACATGTGATGCTCTGTCCTCAGCGGAAGCCAATCTGCCTAGCCTGTTACAAGTTTGACACCAGCGACGTCCCCAAGGTGCTGGACAAGTACCACAACTGCGGCCCCAGCCACTACCTGGCGGTGAAGGTGAGGTGTCCCTGGTGTCCCTCTGGTGTCCCCCATGTCCCCCTGGTGTCCCCCCACCATGCCAACCCATGCTGTCCCACAGGAGATCCGACAGAAGGATGAGGCAGAGTGCCGTGCGGTGGAGGAGGCTGGGAAGGGGGGGGACATGCTGTACCTGCCCGGAATGTTTGCCTTCTCCCGGGGGCTGCCCTCATAGGTGGGGATGGATAGGTGGGTATGGGGACACAGCTGGGACACCCCCCAGGATCAGGACATGGCTGGGAGAAACAGCTGGGACAGGGACATGGGAACCCCCTGGGATGGCAACACTGCTAGGAGAAGCCCCCTGGGAGGGGGTCGTGGGGACACCTGGGACACCCCATGGGATAGGGACACACTTGGATGGGAACATAGCTGGGAGAACCCCCTGGGATGGGGACACACCTGGGAACTCCCTGGGACAGGGACACAGCTGGAGAACCCCCCTGGGATGGGGACATGTCTGGGATAGACAGAACCCCCTGGGTTGGGGACACAGGGTTACACCTGGAAAATCCCCAGGAGGGGGATACTGCTGGGAGAACTCCCTGGAATGAGGGCATGGGGACACACCTGAGAACCCTCCAGGATGGGGACATACCTGGAAACCCCTTGGGACAGGGACACATCTGGACCCCCCCCGGATGGTGACACAGGGACACACGTGGAGAACACCACAGGGACATGGGGGTCCCCTCACAGCCCCCTCCCCATATCCCCTTCCAGGCACCACAGCACTGACAGACACTGCCACCACGGGGGTCCTGCCCCCCCTGCTTATCACCCCCCAGCACCGCATGACCGAGAAGGGTCCTGGACGTGTCACGCCCTGCCTGTCCCTGCTCCCCAGTAAACCCAGCGCTGGCTCCGCAGTCCTGCATCTCATTCCCAGAGGGAGTTTGGCGGGGGGAAGGCTCCGTGTCACCCTCTGCCCCAGGTCCCCAGGGATGAGGGATGCAGTGGGTTAGGGTGGAGCAGTTGGTCCCAATGAATCTCCCCCGAGGTCGCAGGACAGAGGGACACCAGATGGTGGGACACATTTACTGCACAGTGCCACCATGTCCCCTGTCCCCACAATGTCCTCCCAACATCTCATGGTCACCACGATGTCCCACAGCCAAGGTTGGGCTCCTCCTGTGTCCCCCGGTGATCCCGTGACACGCTGGGGTGGCTCTGGGGGTCTCCTGGCCCCGATTTGGGGTCCTACAGCTCAGGGTGTGGTGGTACTGAGGAGTCTCCTGGTCCTGGTGTTGGCTGTGGTGGCTCTGGGGGTCCCCCAGTCCCGGTTTGGGGGTCCTGCAGCTCAGGTTGTGGTGTCACTGGGGGGTCTCCCAGCCCTGGTGTAATCTGAAGGGTCTCCCAGCTCCAAATCGGGAGTCCAACAGCTTGGAAACCAAAGGGGCCAGGCCGGTGGTGGCACTGGAGGGTCTCCTGGCTCCAATGTTAGCTGTGGCAGCTCTGTGTGTCCCCCAGCCCCATTTTGCCCCCTCTCAGAACCCAAATGCCCCATCTGGCAGCTCTGTGTGCTTCCACCCCATGTCCCCCCTCAGAACCCAAACACCCTGTCCTCTCACTG